GGGAGGGAGGGAGGGAGAATACACAAAGAGCAAACTAGCAAGAGATCTTATTCAGAGGCAAAGTAAAAGTACAAATTAGTTATATGACAAGCTGAGGTCCTGAGCAAGCAGGCAGCTCAAGACTGCCTGGTTACTGTCTAAGACTTTCTATGGGCTCAAGAGGAAGAGCAGATGGTTATTAAGGGGAAAGGGACTTTTTGATGTGTGTGTGTGAGAGAGAGAGAGGGGGGGATGTAGAGAGGGAAAGAAAGGGGGAAAGTGGGAAGGAGAGAGGAGAGGAGGAGAGAGAGAAAGAGAGGGAGAGGAAGAGGGAGGGGAAAAAGGGAGGGAGAACGAGAGAGAGCAAGCTTGAGTGAGCGCGTATGCCTGTGTGAAGAGGTCAAAGGAGGACTTCAGGTGTCCTGCTTTGCTTTATTCCCTTGAAACAGGGTCTCTCAGTGAACCTGGAGCTAGGTTGGCAGTTGGCAAGCCCCATTATCATTCTGTTTCCACTCCCAACAGCATGAGAGTTCTAGGCATGTGGCCACCTCTAGCGTTTTTCTTGAGTGCTGAGTATTCAAACTCAGGTCCTTAAGCTTGTAAAGCAAGTGTTCTTACACACTGAGCTACATCCTCAGTCTCAAGGTTTCTTGTTTTAATTGATAAGTATGGGCTATATAAGCCTTTGTTCATAGGGCATGTTCTAAAAGTAGATACCACAGGGTATCTAGTTTTGACTATATACATAAGCTATCATGCATAGGCATAAGATGGCAAATATGGTATTTTCTACAACAAGAAACAGTTTTCTTTATTGCACATGGACAGCCTAGGTTGGATCAACCATTGATCCTGGTTTCAGGACATGCCTTTGACCACAAAAGAAATACTAAGGGTTGCTGGGGAGCTACTTGTTGGAGTTACTGCTCTGAAGGAGGGGTATGTGTGTAGCTTGATGCAGGTACGGGGTCCCAGGTTGCTAAGTGCTTTGTTGGGAAAGATGTGTAACTATCCATATGCTTGCTTGCCTCACCATTACCTCTAATGCCCCACTGTGGAGAAAATTACATTATCTTTTTCTGTAGTAGTCACCGAATCAGAGATGTCTACTGCACAGTTTTACAGGGTTTTCTTTCCGTAAGCTAGATGTGCTGGCACGTGCTTATAATCTCAGCACTTTGGAGGTAGAGGCAGGAGGATAGAAAGTTCAAAGTCATCTATATAGTTAGTTCTAGTCTATTCTGGGCTGCATAAGACCTTGTCTTAAAAAGATTTTTTTTTATTTGAGACATAGATAACTTAAATTAACCTCAATGTCAAATTCTTGTCCTACTTCAGCCTCCAAAATGCTGGGATTATAGGTATATACCACTGGCTAAGGATCATTTTTAAAGCATGCCACATCTAGTCATT